CAGGAGCGGGCGCAACGCGGCCGATGCTGCACCCGCAGCTTGCTGGGCTAGGGTGCACGCGGGGGCACTTGGAACTCTGGGCGGGCTTCGAAAACGAGCTTGGGATCCAGCTCGCCGCACGCCTCCCCAACAGCCACCATAACTGCCTCCGCCTACTGATCCACATGAGCAGCAGCGGCCGCCGTCGGCGCGAGCCGCACGTCACGCATGGGCGGGCCCGCAGCCGCCGTCTCCAGCTTGAGCGCGAGCGGCGACCGCAGCGCGGCATCAGCAGCGGAACGTGGCAGCCCTCTCGAGCAGGCCCTCCTCTCCGCTCGCGGCAGCCCTCTCCAGCAGCTCCCCCCCGATGGGCCGCCGCCCTCGGCCACAGGCGTCGATGAGCACGGCCTGTCCGCGAGCACCATCTTGAGGGATCTGCTCTTGGAGGTGCCCGTGCTCCTCGCGAAGGGCCTCGCTCAGCTGAGCAACGCGTGCCGCAGACTCGGATGAACGTAGGGGGTACGGGGCCTCTGGGCGAAGCACTGCCCCTCCAGCATCGCCAGCAGTGCCCGCCGCCTATCCCCCTCCCTGGTCAACGCCAGACGGCAGCGCGGGGCGAGCAGCAGGCCCTCCCGAAGATGGCATCCCCCGAAACATGGGAGCCCTCCCTGGCAGTCTCCCACGGGCGCAACGATCCTCCACGGGCTTCCGACAGTGGCCGCCTTCTGTCCCGGCGGCGTGGCTGATGCTCTGCCGCTGCCGCCTGCGGCTCCTCTGGGCGTGGCCGGCGCGCTGTCCGCCAGCGTCGCGAAGTCGCCTTCCCCCTCGACCTCGTCCGCCTACGGCTTCACGTCGGACAGCCACCTCCTTCAGCAGCTCCCATACCCCCACCGACGACGCCTCCTGCAGGCCCCCTGGGCGGTCGCGCCGGCAGCAAGCCGGCCGCACGGGGCGTCGAAGGCCGCCTCGGTGGAGGGAGCTGGGCCCTGGTGGTGGCCTGGCGCCGAGCCCAGCCAAGAGGGCCTGGAGGTCCCGCACCCAGCCCCCGCGCGGCTGTCCAGCTCGCTTGCGCGGCGGTGAGCCACGCGCCGTTGAATCGGCCAAGAGCGGATATACAGAAGCCGGCGGGACCGCGAAGCGTCTGGCAGCTTTTTCGACCGCGGCCGGGCCCCCGGCCTCGACGTAGCTGGCGCTCGCGCCAGTGGCGGGCTCCGGCCCGCCCAGGCCTTGCCCCCGAAGGATCCGAGGGGCGCGCAGCCGCAGCAGCAGCAGGCCACCATGAGTGTGGTGACGACGAGGAGGACGACGGCGGTGGCGACGCAGACGTAGGCCTTCCAGCGTGGGAGGCACAGCGCCTCGCCGTCTTCGGACTCCTCCATCCAGGAGGCCGCAGCAGCTGCACCCGCTCCACGGCGCCGCTGCGAGGTACCAGCGGGCCGCCCTCGCAGGCGCTCGGCCCCGCAGGGTCTTCTCTTCAATCTCCTTCTCATCCTTCTCCGCCTCCTCCTCCTCCTCCTCTTCCTCCGTTCTTTTCCTTACCAATAATCAAGCAGTTCTTCCTGTAGCACCCCGAGGCCAGTTTTTAGGGCGGGCCAGGCGTTTCGCTTGAGACGTCCTCACCATTCATGAGTCTCAAGCTTAAACATTGTCAACAGTCTCCCAGATGGAGGGCGGGTCGTTTTCAAAATGTGGCGCTCGCCTTAGCGCTGCGCACATTCGTTCAAACAAATGCAAGAGTTTTGCGGGTTGACGGCGGGTGCGTTTCAAACTGTGGTTCTCGCTTGAGCGTGGCACATTCGTTCTAGAAATTGGCAAGAGTTTCGCGGATTGAGGGCGGGCATTGCTTTCTCGCTTTAGCGCGGCGCAGATTCGTTTCGGAATGTTGTAAGAGCTTCACGGAATGAGGGCGGTCGTTTTCAAAATGTGGTTCTCGCCTTAGCGCGTCGCACATTCGCTTTAGAAAGTTGCAAGAGCTTCACGGATTGAGGGCGGCTCGCTTTCATTATGTCGTTCTCGCCTTAGCGCGGCGCACATTCGATTGTAACAATTTGCAAAAGCTTCACGAATTGAGGGAGGGTGTTTTTCAAAATGCGGTTCTCGCTTAAGTGCGGCACACATTCGTTTATTAATTACACAAAATGTATGAGTTTCATTGGTTTCCATTACCAGCGTGCCAGAACTTGTGTTTAAATAAACATGATGCAGGATTTTGCGGGTGCAACAGTTATGTGGGTCCGCTGCGTTGAAGCCCCAGGAGAGGCGTTTTGGCACGATTCAGGATTATCCAGACGCAACAGTCAGGTTGCTCATTGGAGTTGGACTTCCGAGAACGATGTTTTCGCATGTTTCAGGGTCTTCAAACTGTTGGTTTCCAAAGGGACAGTTCCTTCAATGGAAATGAACAGTTGTAGCGGCCTGTGAAGAGGAAACTTGGATGGAGGGGGAGTTGATCCCAACATTTACACTGGTCCTCCTCCTCCCGCCTCCCTCCTCCTCCTCCTCCCCCCTCCTCCTCCTCCTCCTCCTCCCCCTCCTCCTCCTCCTCCGCCCTCCTCCTCCTCCTCCTCGTCCTCCCCCCAATACTCCTCCTCATACTCCTTCCGCCTTCGCGACCGCCGCCGCCAACGGGGAAGGCCTCCGACGGCGGCGGCTCCGACGCGGGCGCCGCGTACGGCGCTGGGTACTGCGACGCGCAGTGCCCGCAGGGCGGCGGCCCCAGGGGGGGGGCTACGCGGGGGGGGGGGGAGCCTGCCTGGCGGCCAGGTGGCCATCGGCCCGGCTAGGGGGAGGGGGGGGGGCGGAGGAGGGAAGAGGGGGACTCCTCCTCCTCCTCCTCCTCCTCCTCCTCCTCCTCCTCCTCCTCCTCCTCCCGCTCCCTCCTGCCTTCTCCTCCTCCTCCGCCGCCTCCTCCTCCTCTTCCTCCGCCTCCTCCTCCCTCCTCCCTATTTCCCTCTCCTCCATCCTTCCCTCTCCTTTTTTTCAACGCGGCAGGTTGGCGCGGAGGGCGTTTGCAGCCCTCGCGCCAGATGGACTTCGGCCCGCCGAACTGTTGCCGATCTCCCCCCTCTTCCTTCATTTTCATGAAGAGGAGGGAGGAGGGCCGAAGCGAGGGAGGAGGGACGAAGAGAGGAACGAGGAGGAGGAGGAGGACGAGGAGGTGGAGGAGGAGGACGAGGAGGAGGAGGAGGAGGATCAGGAGGAGGAGGATCAGGAGGAAGAGGAGGAGGTAGAAGTGGTGGCCCAAGACTACTCCTGGCCCCCAGTCCTCTTACTCTTCTTTTTTGCTCTCGACTGTCCTCCTCTCTCATTCTTCCAGCTCGAGGAGGAGGGCGCGGTGCGCGGCTGCGCTTCGCCGCGCCAGGAGGAGGGGAGGAGCAGGGGCAACACGCGGGGGGGATCGGCTCAGAGGTTCTGGGGGAGTGGGGATGACGTTAGGCCCAGGGAGATAGGCTCAGAGGCGCAGGGGACCAGTCAGAGGCTCAGGGGCAACGTTAGGGAGGGATGGGCTCATGGGGGGATGCATCGGCCCTCAATCACCCATTGATCGCCGATAGGGGCCTGACAGCCCACCCTGCCCAGGAACGAGCGAATTCGCTATCGGGTGCTGGTCGCCGATCTATCATCTGTTGGCGATGTTTCGCCAGTTCCAGGTCAATGTTCCCCCCCCCCCTTGAACGGATCCCCCCCTGGCGTTGCTTCTCAGAAGGGTGAAGATGAGGAGAGCCTCGAGGAGAAGGAGGAGGAGGGCTGAGCGCGAGGGACGAGGAAGGGGAGGGAGGACAGGAGGTACTCGTGATCTTTCTGCCCTGCTCTTGCTCGTCGCCGCTGGTCCTCCTGAGCCTCCTCGTCCTCGGCCGTCGTTCGGGAACGGTGCCGCTGCGCAGGGAATCTGCATAGTGTTGCAAGACATTGCGTGCCTCCTGGATCACGGTCTGAAGCGCACAGCGATGGCAGTCTTCGTCTTCGCCGTCGTCCTATTTTGCACCACGATGTTCCGCTTCTTCTGAGCATGTTGTTATTATAGTTGCACGTTCTTGCATCGCCGCAGCAGCAGAGCATATCAAGCACGCCAGAGGATTCTTTAATCAAGCGGGCGCCCGAGCGTGAAGCACGCACTCGAGCGCGTTCGGTGGCCGTCCCTGTTCGGTGAGAGCCCCGGCAGGCTACAACCAAGTGTGGCCCCGTCTGTGTTTCCAGACCCTGCCTCCGTCAGTTGCAGAGGGTCCGAGTAGCACGCGTGCGCAGAGAGTAGGTCAGACTTGATAGCATGCAATGCATAGCAGTAGACGCTGTAGCAGTGGAGCGATGCGTTTGCCCTCCAGTGTCGTGTCATTCAGTATTTGCATTGTCACGGTTTCCGCCTTTCCGCTCTCGGGGGTGGGGGGCAGGAATTGTCCGCCTTACCGGGTGGAACAGTAGTCAGCAGTAAGAGTGAAGTAGGGCGAAGGCAGCGCATGCCGCACCTTTGGCTCAAGCACCGACGCTTAGGGGAGAGGGGCGCGAGGATTGTCAGCAGCAGAATCCGGAAAAAAAACAACCTCTTTCCTAGGATCCCGAATCCCACGCACCAGACATCCATTACGGCAGACATGGCAGAATATACGAGCTTGCAGTATGGTCAAATCCGTTCAGGCGCAGCTGATATGCCACTGTCACTCTGGGGGAGCGGCCTCGGTCCTGTTCAGGATGATAGCACGAGCCCTTCCTCCTCCTCCCTCGTTCGTCGTTTGTCCTCCTTGCCCTCGCCTTCGCCCCATCCGATCATTGTCATACTCATCTTACTTCTTGTCGTTCTCCTCGTCAACACGGTTCTCTCCCCCTCTCTTCTACCACCTTCTTCGCTCTCTTTTTGTTAGTTTTCCTTGTCGCAGCTCTTGCCCAAATCCCTCACCCCAAGCGTCGATGGTCACATCCACACTCCTACTGACGTCGTCCGCGGCATCTCGGGCAGCATGAGCAGGCAGCATGAACAGAGCAGGATGCCAGTGCTTGCTGAGACCTCATGTGCCGCAGATTAAGGCATGAAGTTCATCAACAACAAGGCGCGTGGTCTGTGCCTTGCATGACGTGCAGCAGGTTGCGGGTAAATGGGGTCGGAGGATCGCCTCGCATCGCCGATACATCGGCGATGTGGTTGGATGTGGTTGGAGCCCGATTTTCTCTGCGCCGACGGCGCCGATGCATCGCCGACGTTTCCGATACATCGTCAATGAATCGAATCAGCGATGCGGCGCGATCATCCGACCTCATTTGGCCACAGTTTGGAGGCCTACGTTTGCGGATAGGGAGCGGAATCAGGAGGAATACCATGTCGGACGAACATGTGGACTGGGACGTGGCGGGATACGAACATCGTTGCGTGCAGTTGGCTTCGGCCCAGCTGCTGGACGCTTTCCTCGACACATGAGCGACGCAAGAAAAAACAGGGTCGTTTGTGCCGACCTAGGCGCGTAAGCTGTCCGCGTAAGGTCGCGCGTAAGCGCCCTCGTCTCCAGTGTAGCATGTCGCGCTGGCGGCCAGCGGAAGCCGTGGCCTAGGGTCGCGGTGTCATGTCGCGTAAGACCCGTTTTTGTTCGTCGCTCGCATGGTCGCCCCAGGCACCAGAAAAAAACAGCTACTCGAGTTGATTTCTCTCGCTTCGCGGGGTGCACGTCCGGAGCACGTACAGTCACGTCGTCGCGGAGCCTCTTGGGAGCCTCCTGGGGGCCTCCTGGGGGCCTCCTGGGAGTTTCTTTTGGCCTCTTGGGGACTTTTTTGGGGCCTTTCCCCCATCCCTTTCCGTACACCCTCCCCATCTTCTCTTCCAGCACCGGCTCTAATCATGGGCGCCGCAGTGACCAATTTCCACCTGGCTGGGCGCTGCGCCGCAGTTCGCCCAGAGGGGGGAAAATAACTTTACATTCCAGTCGCTGTGTGGCCTTTGGGGGGTTTTTGGGGGGCCTTTTGGAGGCTTCTGGGGGACTTTTTGGAGGCTTCTTGGGGGCCTCTTGGGGCCTCTTGGGGGCGTCCTGGGCCGTCTTGGTGCATGTTGCATGTTTGCACCGTCTCGCCCCCTCGGAGGCTGTCTTGGGGGCCTCTCGCGGCCGCATTGGAGCCCTCTTGGGGTCCTCTTGGGCCGTCTTCGCGGCCTCTTGGACCGTCTTGGGGGCCTCTTTGGGCCGTTCGGGGGCCCTCTTGGGATGTTTTGGGGCCCTCTTGTGTTTTTTGTTTGTTGTTCTGGGGCGATTCTGGAAGCTGCTTGGGCCGTCATGGATTTTTGAGAGTCGAAAAGGCGAGAACGCTGAAATATTGCAAAACAGCCATAGACAAATCAATGATTTCGGCTTCTGGAGGCGCAGTTGTGGGTGCTCTTGGGGCCCTGTCCTTGGGGTTTGGGGGGCCCTCTCGGGGCCGTTTTGGGGGCCTCATGGGCCCCCGTTGGGAATATGTTGGGCCGTCTTGGGGCCATCTTGGGCCATCTTGAGGCCCTCTTGGATTCCCTAGAGGCTCGACAGGCCGAATTTGTTGATTTGTCATAGGTTTTTGTAGTGTTTCGGGGCCCCTGAAGGAGGGCCGATCATTTTGATGGGGAAACATAATAATGTAACACAATGCGATATGTGGCAATTACGCAATCATTGGACACAGTGGATACGTTGCATTAAGGCGTTCGCCGAAAAACGCTGCCGCTCAGCACGTCACCTCCGGACGTGGATTCTTGGGCTTACGCCGCACCGCCGACCCGTTGGGGGGCTCCTGGTAGGTCTCCCGAGGGTTTCTTGGCAGCACTCTTGAAGCCTTTGGGGAGCCGTTTTGGGGCCTCTTGGAGCCTCTTTGGGGCCTTTTGGTGGGCCTCTTGGAGCCTCTTGGGGGTTTTTTGGGGGCCTCGTGGGGGCTCCTGGAGGCTTCTTGGGGCGGGGGGCTCGAGATGTCTGTTCGGGTCCCCCGTCTGGGCCCCCTCCTGGAACCGTTTTGGGGGCCTCTTGGGCAGTCTTGGGGCCGTTTTGGGCCCTCTTGGAGCCTTCTTGGGGGTGTTCCTGGGCCGTCTTGGGGCGATTTTGAGGCGTCATTGGCCGTATTGGACGCTGTGAAAGCATAAAAGACGAATGTGCTAAACTCGCACGTTTCCTCAAGGACATGAGGCGATGTTTGCTTCTTGGGGCCCTCTTGGGACGCCTCTTGGGGGCCTCTTGGAGGTTTCGGGGGCCTCTTGGGCCGTCTGGGGGCCATCTTGGGCGTCTTGGAACGATCCATCGGCGACTCCGGGCCCTGTGGGACCACCTTGTGAGCCTCTTGGGCCCCTCATGGCCCGTCGTGAAGCTCGTGGTGCGTTCAGCCGGGGCCGGCCGGACCCCCCCCCAAACCGACCTGACCGGGCCCGGGGGGGAGGGGTTGGGGGAGGGGAGCTGGGGGAAGCATTTCACACGCCCATGACCCCAAGGGGCCGACGGATTCGCCAAGCCCCCCTGTGCTCACCTACCCTCTGCCGTCCGCCCAGGAAGAGGGAGGCTGTCTGGCTGCAGCGAGGTTCGTGGGCGGAACTTGCGCGGGCCAGCCTCCCAAACGGAAGAGCATCAGAGCTCTCCGTCAAAGAGGGAAAATACGCCAGTCGTTTACAAAACGGCCCTGGGCATGTACTAAACAGCCCTGCCATTTTCGATTCCTTCTTTGGGTGCGTTTACTAGACGGCCTCGCGTGTCGGGGTGATTAGTTTGAGGGTGGATTACCATCAGGGCGAGATCGCACTGTTGGAAAGGAGGGCGAGGGTAGCCCCAATGTGAGCGTTGTTTTATGCATTATTTTGCCGATGGGCGCGGGCCCTCGCACCCCTCGCCTTCCCCACCCCCCGTGGAGTAGATCTTGGCTGCTTTTGGCGCCTGTTTCGAGCAGGTGGGGTCTCCCCCATAGGACGCACGGTCCCAAACAGTGGCGCTAAGCAGAGGTCCGGAGCCAGGCCCCCCCCCTTCCCCCTCTTCCGCCCAATGTCGAAACGCCGAATAAAAAAACGTTCACGCTGCGGTCACTCCTCGTCCTTCGTCTCCGCCCAGGGGGGGGAGGCTGGGCGGCGGCGGGGCCGTGCGCGAGGCGAACGTGGAGGACTGGGGCATGACCTTGGCCGAGAGCCCGGAGTACGAGTGGGTCGAGGCGTGCCGCCTCCGGCAGGGGGGGTGGAGGAGCCTTCCTCCTCCCCCTCCTCCTTCTCCTCCTCCTCCTCCCCCTCCTCCTCCTCCTCCTCCTCCTCTTTCTCCTCCTTCTCCTCCTCCTCCTCTCCTCATGCTGCTGCTCTCGTCTCTCCCCCCTTCTTCCCTAGGGGAACGAAGAATGACATGAACAGAACAACTCGGAGGTCCGCGCGGAGTTCTCGGATCCGCGCTGGACCCCCCTCAACGGTGACGTCGGCACGCCCGAGAGTCAGAGGAGGAAAAAACACCGACTCCACTGCCCTTCCCTCGGTTTCGCCTTGGTGGGCCTCCCGGGGAGCCCTCGTCGCCACAGCTGGATTCGCCTCGAAATCTTGCTCAGAACGAACCCCTAAGCCTTATAACGTAACGCGATGAAGACGCAGCCTCACTGAGGTCCCCGTCTTCGCATTAGGGATAATGATTCTGGGCGGTTTGGTTCGATACACCTGCAGAGAAGACCCCCTATCCCTAATGCTCCCGGCCCTCCTAACTTTAGTCCCAAAGGGGTACGTAAGTAGGGGTCCTTCTTTGGTCGATCATCGGAGGATGTCCTCGCATCGCTGATAGACCGGCGATGCGGGGCCGTCCGGAGCACAGGTTTCTGCATCTGGGACGTTTCCGATGCATCGGAGATGCGGTGCGATCCTCTGGCCCCGTCTGCTCCGGCTCTTTTCGGAGGCGTCCATTGATTGATGCGCATGCATGGTGTTCCTGACGTTCGTATGTCAGTAGTCCGCCTTCGGAGCAAATGCATTCATACGAGCCGAACAGGATCAGGAGCATGTCTCAGGCCGGCCTCGAATCGAGATAAATCGGTCCAGAATGTTGTGGAACGCTCTGGAACGGCCGTGGCGCCCGATACATTCGGCAAACCCGCCAATTCTCAGAGATTTCCGATGTATCTCGGTCCGATTGTGTCTCGATTCTGCCTTCGATTTCATTTCAATGCAGTACATGTGAAGTTCGAGCAAGACTCTGCTGTCGTTGTTGGTCTCGAACTTGACAAGACTTACAACATTGAGATTGCAGCCGATGACTGGCAACCCTTTGATCATCCCTTGTGTCTTCTGCGTTAATTAGCTGAGTACATGAATCTTGATGTGCGCACGTATCGAATTCAGATTTTGATCTGCCTGTGGCAAGGCAGATCCATTAGCTGGGGAAATGGAGTGACTCTGAGCGTTGGGTACAGATGTCGCACAGTCTCGAGAAGGTTATCCACAGGCTCTCCACCCCCAACAATCTGCAGTAGGTTCTACAGAGGACTCGCACAGGCCCCAGTCATACAGTTCCTGCTAGGTTCTACTGAGGTTTCTTCTGGTAGATGGCTGCGTACGCGTGATGCCAGTAATTAGTAGGCAAAGATTTACGGAAGAGCAGAAATCCACATTGACATGAAGGTTTTCGAATTTGCCCCCAATGCGTTTCACGAATTGAAGCGTTTCGCTCTTTCTAGTGGTGCACCCTCTCAAGACGTTGACGGCGCTCCCGCGCCCAGTGCGGGCGCACCGGCGCGCATGCAGAGCATCACAAAACGTGAAATGAACCAGCCCAGTAGCAAAAGAAAAAAAAACATGTCTTTAGACGGGTTGGTCTAGCAGAGTCCGCAGTGGACTCTACAGGTCTCCGTTTGTCCGTAGAAGATGTTCCACAGGTCTCCTACAGGACCCAGACGGTTCGACACAAGTCTCCGAAGTCCCGAGTTGGTTTTCTACTGGTTTCCGACATCCCCTAGCATGTTCTGCGCAGGTAGGTTGTCTACGGGTCTCCAACAGTCCCCAACAGGTCCTATGCAGGTGTACACTTTTCCCAAGCAGGTCCTTTACAGGCTTCCACAGTCCACAGTAGGTTCTACCCATGTCCACCACAGTGCCCTGTCGATTGTATACAGGTTTCCCACACTCCCAAGTCGGCTCTACACATATCTGCCACATTTCCTAGTAGATGGCAGGTCTCCAGAAGTCCCAAGTAGGTCATGTACACGTCTCTTGCATGACATAGTAGGTTCTCTACAGGCTTCCTCGCTCCGAAAAACTGGATGTTGCCGACGGAGCCTCTGGCCCAAGGTGGTCCTTGCTTTGTAGCAATGTTTGGGAGACCCTGGAGCCCTCTGGGCTTTGTGGGGGTGCGAGCCAACCTGGGCCTCCCTGGGAAAAAGCTGGGCCCACCTTGGGACCAACAGAACGATGGTGCAATCAACCTCCCTTCTAAGTTCCCTCTTCATAGGCTCCTATCAGGAGCTATTCTCACTGCGGGGAGATCCCCATTGGGAAGACAACCGTCTAAAAGTCTTCAACCGCGCTAAAGTACCTTTCCTTCGATTTCAACGTCGCCGTTGCGACCTGACGACACTAAATCGTAACAGAACACCACTTCTGGGACGTCAACACCGCGAATCAACGTGACTGACGCGCCCTGGCAATCCTAGATCGTGCCAGAGCGCCGTTTCTGGACCGAAAAGCATAAGAACCTTTGAAAACACTGTAAACCGTTAAGACGAATGTGCGTAGCGCCAAGGCGAGGGCCACATTTTGAAAACGGCCCGCCCTCTATCAGTGAAGACCGTGCAACTATTCAAGACGAATGCGCGCGGCGCTAAGACTGAAAGGCGAGCGCCACATTTTGAAAACGGCCCGCCCTCCACCCGTGAAGATGTTGCACACTTCAATGTTCATGTTCACAAGTGGCGAGGACGTCTCAGGCAAAAACGCCCTGTCCGCCCTACCGACCCGTCTCGGGCTGCGACAGGGAGGATTCATTCATAAGCAATTGGAATGGAGGAGCAGGTTAACAAGGAGGAGCAGGATGAGTAGGAAAGGATGATGAAGAGGAGCAGGAGATGGAAGAGGAAAGGACTGGAGGAGGGGGAGAAACACAAGTAGGATGATGATGATGATGATGATGATGATGATGATGGTGGTGATGGTGATGGTGATGGTGATGGTGATGGTGATGGTGATGATGATGATGATGATGATGATGATGATGATGATGATGATGATGGTGGTGGTGGTGGTGTGATGAGGATGCTGATGCTGATGCTGATGCTGATGCTGATGATGATGATGATGATGATGATGGTGATGATGATGATGATGATGATGGTGATGATGATGATGATGAGATGATGATGATGATGATGATGATGATGATGATGATGATGATGATGATGATGATGATGATGATGATGATGATGATGATGATGTGGTGATGATGATGAGGATGAGGATGAGGATGAGGATGAGGATGAGGATGAGAGGAGGAGGAGAGAGGAGGAGGAGAGGAGAGGAGGAGTAGGAGGAGGAGGAGGAGGAGAAGGAGGAGAGGAGGAGTAGGAGGAGGAGGAGGAGGAGGAGGAGGGGGGAGGAGGAGGAGGAGGAGGAGGAGGGGAGGAGGAGGAGGAGGAGGCGGCGGCGGCGGCGGAGGCGGAGGAGGACGACGAGGAGAAGGGGGAGGGGGGGGGTGGCGCCTTCACCTCTCCCGCCCACCCCCCCTGGCCTGCCGCCTGCCTCCCGCGCGCAGGTCGGCCCCGTGGGCAAGTACGGCGCCTGCTGCGCCGAGTTCGACATCCTCGAGGCGCCGCCCGCCCGACGATCGGCCCCGGCTGCCCGGGATCTCCGACGATGCGCCATCCACGAGTCCTACAACGACGAGGGCGACAGACATGGCGACGACGACGACGACGACGACGACGAACACAACGACATGAAACGACGACGCCGACGACAGCGACGGCGGCAACGGCGACGGCGGCGGCGACGGCGACATCACGAATCCCAGACATCCGATGTCTTGATGTTTTACTCGCTCCGACGTCCACGGAAGTCCCGACCGCCTCCCCAGGCGCAGCTCGCCGCCCCGAGCTGTTCCCTTGACTTTCCCTGGGGGGCACGGCGAGTGCCCCCTCGGGGGCCGCAAGCGGCGAGGGGCTCAATTGCAGGAGGGTCCAACGGGTGGGGCGCGAAGCCCAAGACCGCCTGCTCCGGCAGCCCCTTCGCGTGAGACTTCCTCCCTAACTTACGCAGGGATCGCGTTCTCACCTCAGTGCTGGCTACATGTCTGGTCCAGGTGACCATTCCCCCATGTAGAAATTACACCAGCGTGCACATGGCCGTGCCTTGCTGCCATTAGGGTGCTTTGCTGGGATGATTTTCAATCCCGGCGATTTCGGCCTCTAGGGCCCACTGGAAGGTTCCAGGATCATCCGAGAGCGATCCGGGACGCAAAGCTGCACCTGGGGAAGGCGTCGGAACCCCTTGGGGCCGCGGAGTGAAAACCAGATCAGATGCTGTCTGGCGCTGCGAGCACGCGGCGGCGCCGGGGGCGGCGGCGTCCGCGGCGGCGGCGGCGGCGCTGGTGGCGAGAATCGGGCGAAGAGAACTGTGCACATGCACGGGTCCTGGCCAGGGTCGGTGCACATGCCACCTCGGCAAGGCCGACCCCGGGCCCAGGGTGGGCCTGGCAGGGATCGGTGGGACGAGGGGCAACATGAGGGTGGGATCAGGCTCAGGGCGGGATGCATCGACCCCCAACCGCCTAACCGCCCACTCATCGACGACGGGGGCCTCATAGTCCACCCCGCCTAGCAACGTGCGGCTTCGCTGTCGGGGACCTATCACCGATCCATCGACGATGCAACGCCGATTCCAAATCGATGTTCCCCCCCGGTGCCGGTCCCTCCTGTCGCTCCCCATCAGGAGGACGAGGAGGAGGAGGAAGAGGAGGAGGAGGGGCAAGAGGAGGAGGAGGAGGAGGAGGAGCAAAAGGAGGAGGAGGAGGAGGAGGAGGAGGAGGAGGAGGAGGATCGTGGATCATGGTCGGACGGGGCTAGGACGAGGATAAAATCGTGCCAGAGCGTTCTGGAACGCTCTCAGAGCGTTCTGGAACGCTCTGAGAAGGCCGCGGCGCCCGATACATCTACCAGAAACGCCAGATCTCAGAGATTCTCGATTTATCTTCACCCGAATTTATCGTCTCGGTCTCGTCGTACATGGGTTGACCTGGTTCCACAGACCCAGGTCCAGAGACGAAAGCGCAGCGACAACGACGGAGACGACGACGATGACGATGACGATGACGAGGATGAGGATGATGACGATGACGGTGACGATGACGACGATGATGAGGATGATGACGATGACGATGACGATGACGATGGCGATGGCGGGAAGAGGATCGCAGCGCGCCCACAGCGCCTGCAGCGGCCTCGCACTCACCGAGAAGAGGACGGGGGGGGAGGCGGAGGAGCGGCAGCAGCAGGGGCGGCTCCTCGGGCTGCTCCCCCTTCGCGCTGGAGTGCCAGCGGCCAGCGGCGTGGCATCGCCCGGACGTGTGCGTCAAAATTCATGCGAGGACCACCGAGGAGCCTCCTGGCTCAGCGAGCCAAAAACAACACACGCACGACGCCGAAAAGTGCACGGGAAATGTACGCCCTTCCTTGGCGCGCCCGCTGGCACGCCAAGGAAGGGCGAGCGTGGGGGGCGCCGTCCGCCTCCCCGCCCCCAAGAATCCGTGCGATTCCCCGGCCCAGGGAGGGGGACGAGGAGGGAGGACGAGAACGAGACGAGGACGAGGAGGATGTGGAGGAGCTCCAGCACACGAGGCTCGTGCAGCCGTCTCGGCTCTCGCGCGCCCGTCGGCGCGCCGGCGCCCTCTGGCGCATGAGGACAAAACTGCACAGGGTGGGGCCGCGGCTGCCGCCGCCCAAGCGGCCGCGCGCCGTCTCGCATCGAGCCGCCGGGCCAGAACGTCGGGCGTTTGCCGCTCCCGCTTCCGACGCGCTCGTCGTTGGGGCGCCCCCGGCGTCGCGGGGTAGCCCGCGGGCTCTCGTCAGGCTCCGCTGGCCACGGTGGCAACGGCTTCCCGCTTGGCCACCCGCGCGCTGCCTGTTCGGGCCCCCACGGGGTGCAGTCGCTTGCAGCCGCAGCTGTCCCGCAAGGAGACGCATTCTCGAATCCATCACCCAAGCGACTGACCGGCGCAATTGGGACAGGATGGTAGCTTTCAGCAGGGACAGGGGGCGTAGCCAGAAACACCCAGACAGGGCATCCCCGCGGGTGGTTTTGACCGCCATGGTTGAAGCCCGCGCGGCTGGCGCAAACCTCTTGGCCGTGGCGGATTCGGTGGTCCAGAAACAGTTATTGTGCAAAACAGTTCCGTCCATGTTGCGGACTTACGCGTCGCATTTGCGTATGATTGCGTGGGCCAGCGAGTCGTTCGGCAGACCCCCGCTGGGGTGTTCCGTGCAGCACGTTCGTAGGGTTGCCGCAATGTGCGCGCGTGCCTCCACACAGCGTGGGTGGCTGAGCGCGTGGGCCTTGGCGCGCCAGGTCGCCGGCGCTTCTTGACAAAACGATCAGAATGTTCTCTTGCGCTGCATGTTTGGGCACAGGCAAAAGCGGTTGCCCCGGCAACGGGTTGATTGGGTGTTGATGCGGCGGTTGCTCCGCGTCGCGGCTTCGCGCCAGCGCAGGTTGTGGTGCGTCGTTGCAGCGTTTGCCTATCATTTCCTCTTGTGGATGCCATCCGAGCTGTTTGCGCAGTGCACGCGCGCTCGCGTGCAGATGCGGGGCGATCGGGTTGTGTACGGGCCGACCCGCCGGAAGCAGAGGGTCGAGTTGTGCACTGCTTTCGCCTTCTGTACGCGCGGGGCAGATGAAGGCATCTGCCTTCACACGTGGTTTTCCGCTTGGGATGAGCTCATCGGAATCGGGGGCCGCCCGCTCGGCGGATACACTTCTGAGTCCTGGACGGCAGAGCTACGTTGCCAGTTGCGCGCGGTCGGGGCCGCTAGCCCCAAGGCGTGATTTGGGCACGACGTCCGACGGGGCGCGGCCGCAGACGTTTTCGCTGCGTCGGGCGTGGGAACCATGCTCGCACGGGTGGCTGGCGATTGGTGGCATCAGCCCGACCGTGCGTGTCGGGCGACGAGGTGGCCGCCGGCCTGGCCTGTGGGCACAGGGCGTCGTCGGTGACTCCGGCCGTGACAATTAAGCACCGCATTGCCCAGTTCCGGTGCCGCTCCCCCCATTCTCCGTCATTAGCATTGGGGCCGGGAGCGGCCTCGGAACCTTGGTTTTTGAGCCTGTGGAAAAAGACGAGGAAAGTGCGCTTTCTCTCGGCGAGGAGCATCTTCCACCACCTTGCGAAACAAAAGTGTACGAGACCGACGAATGCACAGAAAATGGACGTCCCAGCGATGGCAAGCAGAGCGCCCCTCACAAGGAGGCCCCCCGGAAGGCCAAGGGTGCCGCGGCAGGTTGGGGAAGTCCTGGCTTCGACCAGGGGCACCCGTGGCAGCTGCCGGTCAGCAGCGCGGCGGCGGCGGGTGCGCGAAGGCAGGGTGCCGCGCTTGGCACGGGCAGCTCGAGGGGCAGAGCTGCTTGGCCGCGGGCGAGGATCAGGAGGAAAGAAACACACACAAAAACACAAATGGGAATATCTGGTAAGTGGGGGGAAGACGACAACCCAGAACATATGGGAAACGATGGGAAATCTGGGGATTTGTGTCTATTTGTTTGTCCCTGGGCCCCTCTATAGAATGTCTGGCCCTGGCGGTCTTAATCTTCGTCTCCTGCTCCCTTCCCCCTTTCCGCCTGTGCCGCACCGCAATGAGCTTCGCCTGTGCCCCAGCGCAGCCCGCCCGCAACTCGGCTCCGAGACGCCCGCCGACCAACCAAACACATTTGGGCCTAGGGAGAGGGGGGCCGGCGCGGAGAGGGGTCCTGGCTTGGGAGACGGGCCCAGATTGTGAACGATGTCCAGGTGGTCGGGTGGTCTCGATTGGGCCGTTGGGGTCTCGGAGTTCACGAGGCTCGATGCCGTTGAGACCCTGTGCGTGCGCTTTCACGAGGTCGGGGGGCTGGGGCAGTGCAGTACCCATGTCTTAAGACCCCCAGTCTGGATGTCACGCACCCCTGGCGTCGAAGGACGACATCGGCATCGTCGCTCGGCGCTGGGCCCTCTCGCCTGGCGCGCGACGCGCGCCAAAGACGGCGCCAATAACGCCACGGTGCTTCCATTCCCGATCGAAGAGATCTGCGTGGACCTCCGAAGGTTTATGTGTATGCAACTCCCGTTCTCCAGCCCCGCACACCATGCATGCACACCTGGTCTCGTGCTCTGCTCTCGCTTTGTTCGACCCAAACCGCCGTGCTGGATCCTTTGGGCAAGGGGGGGGGCAAGGGGGGGGGGGGGTCGGGCATGTGCGGGAAAAGGCCGTGAGGCCTCCTAGCAGCTTGATCAGGGCTTGCCCCGCCCCTGGCGCGATGGGTGCTGGAGCAAAAGCGGCGGGGACGGGGGGGAAGAGGACCGAGGAACAGCATCAGCAGGGGTGGGGAGAGGGGGGGATGGGTGGGCGGGGGGGGGGGGGGGGGCGAAGGGTGATGGTTAGATTGAGGACGGGCGGGGAGGTGGAGGAGGAGGAGGGAAGAGGAGGGAGGTGGAGGAGGAGGAGGAGGAGGAGGAGGGAGGAGGAATGCGAGGAATGGGAGGGATGGATGGAGCAATGGGAGGATGAGGAGGAGGAGGAGGAGGAAGAGGAGGAGAGGAGGAGGACGAGGACGAGGAGGAAAAGGAGGAGGAGGCGGAGGAGGAGGAGGAGGAGGAGGAGGAAGAAACATATGACGAAGAGAGGAGGAGGAGGAGGAGGAAGGAGGAGGAGGAGAGAGACGAGGACGGAGGAGGACGAGGAGGAGGAGGAGGAGGAGGGAGAGGAGGGAGGAGGAGGAGGAGGAGAAGAGGAGGAGGAAAGGAGGAGGAGGAGGAGGAGGAGGAGGAGGGAGGAGGAGGAGGAGGAGGAGGACGGAGGGGAGGAGGAATGGGAGGAATGGGAGGACTGGGAGGACTGGGAGGAACTGGGGAGGAGGAGAGGAGGAGGAGGAGGAGGAGGAGGAGGAGGAGGAGGAAAGGGAGGAGGAAAAGGAGGAGGAGGAGGAGGAGGAGAGGAGGAGGAGGAGGAGGAAGAGGAGGAGGAGGAGGAGGAGGAGGATGAGGAGGAGGAGGAGGAGAGAGGAGGAGGAGGAGGAGGAGGAGGAGCGGAGCGGAGCGGAGCCGAGGCAACGACAGGCGCAGGAGCGCTCCGGGGGGGGCGACGAGGAGCCACGGAGCCCTCCGCCGGCGACCCCAGGCGAACAACCAGGCGATCGCGATCACGTCGCACCCCTGCACCATCGAGGGGCTACAGACGTGCTCGGGTGCCGAGGACCTCGCGGGCCGCCGCGGGGAGGGCCTTCTTTTGGGGCCCTCTCCGGGGGGGCCGTTGCCCGGGAGCATCTCCGGGGCCATCCTGAGGCCGTCGTGGGCCGTCCTGGGGCCCCTTTGGGCCGTCCGGGGGCAGCGTGGGCCCGTCTCGCGGCCACCTGCGGGGAGAGGGAGGGGGCAGGCCACGCCATCGCGGGGCGGCGGCGGCGCGGCGTGGCGCAGCCCACGCTGCTGTAAGGAGCGGTGCGCCCCACCCCCATGGCGCGGCGGGCCCGAGGCAGGCGCGCGCTGCCTGGGACAGCGCGCAGCGCGCCGTCTCTGGGCTGCGCGCTGGCAAGATCAGCAAGAGCCGCCGCGCGCGCAGCGGCGGGTCTCGATGGGCGGGGGCAGGAGCCGCCCCTGAGCGAAGCAAAGACGCCCGCGCACTTGCAGGACCCATTTCGGTCCGATGGACACCTTTCGCTATCGAATTCAGCCGGCCGATTCGATTATGCTATGATGTCGATGTCTGCACGGCGTTGTTGTTCATGTTGTCTCGGCCGATCCGTTCCGATTCCGATTCCATGCCGATGTGGCCCGATCCGACGCAAGTCCCGATCCGATCCCATCTATCGATTCGATGTTGGCTGATCCTGATATGATCGACGCGCCAGCGGTGAGAAGTCAAGCAGGGACGCTGTCAAGCCACGTGGGTGGGCACGACGTAGTACGCACAGAATTCGCACGGGCGTCGGGAGAGCGTACCTACGCCGAGCGTTCGTGACGTGAGGGTGGCTTCGCGAGCGGGGGGGCATACAGTTGGCACAGTCTTGTAGAGCAACCTCAATGTCGGATGCACGTGCACACGAGTTTTCTCCGACTCTCCAGTGGGTCATTGGATTGCAGCGAGCGGTGAGAAGTCGGGCGGGCATACAGCTGGCAGGAGGGTGAAGAACAACCTTAGCATCCGAGGTGTACCTCAATCTTGGTGTGCTCTTCGTTCTGGGCATCTCCGTGGGGCCTTGGACCCTTGGCGAAGGGGCTTTGTTCTTGACCTGAGTTCTCGTGGCCGCGCTTCGACGGTACACACGTGCGTGGCTTGGCGCGTACATCCTTGGAGCCCGTCTTTTTCTAATACAGCCAGCGTCACCGGCGTCCCCTTGGGGGTGGGTGGAGTGAAGTCACCGCCCACCAAACCACCCCAACCCAACCCGAAGGTCCCGACTTGCCCTCCATTTCCAGTGGGGGGGGTCGGGGAACATTGAAAACACACATATGAAGCCCGTACCCCTCCAACCCGAAATTCCGATCTTCGGGTTGGGTTGGGGTGGTCTGGTAGTCAAGAAACAGCGCAGTGACGCCAAATCTTGCGCACACGGGGTCAGGGAATGTTCTTGAGTGGCCACTCGCAGGCCCCGCCCGCACCGAACCTTGCGGCAAAGGGGGGCGGCGGTAGGGGACCGGGCCCGGTGGCGGCCGTTGCGCCGGGCAGTAAGACAGCTCGTCTTGCTCCCCCGACCCCCCCCCGAGGAGTGCGGCAACAAGAGCAAGGGCCTGCCGGGCTTTTGCGACAAGGAGCGGGCGCCCCTTCCGCCGCGTTGCTGCCCGAGACCCACGCGGCCCGGCCTGGCCGGCGCGCGTGCGCCGCGGTGTGGAGGACGGAGGACGAGGGCTGCGACGGCGGCATGTCCCTCTACAGGAGGAATGTTCAAAAATAGTCAAAGGAATGTCTCTCTGGGGGCGATGTTTTGACTATGTTCGAATATGGTTGGACTATCTTTCCGACCTGAGCCTCGGGGGCAAGTGAGAGGGGGCAGGCCTGCTCAGAGAGCGGCGGGGCTCCTCGGAGTCACTCGCGCTCTCTCACACGTCTTCAGAGCCTTCTCCGAAGGCAGAGGCGGCTTCTCAGGAGGCCGGACGGCTTCTGAGAGGTGCCGCCTTGGGCGTCGCGTAATGGGGGGGTCGTAAATGGGGGGGTGGCGAGGGTGGTCCGAAAAGGTACCCAAATGGTACCTAAACGAGCCCCCTGGGGCCCGAAAGTGGCACGAAAGGCGACCTTTTCTGACCCCCCCATTTGTGACCCCCCCATTAAGCCACGCCCAACCGCCGCCTTCTGAGAAGGCCTGCCCCCTCTCGCTTCCCCCCGGGCTCCATGCTTCTTTCGATTCCTCAGACCCGCAGCGCCGATCCAAGGAACCCACACGGACACCCGAAGGTTTGTGATTCAATGGTAGCTGTTGTTTTCGAGTATCTTCGGCTTACAGGGTTGGCTCGGGCGTGTGCCCCTGCAGGCGGATTTGGACGAGGCAGATCCCAAAATGCCCAACAAATATTCAGAAATAGTCAGGACCTCGTCCCCAGATTTTTGTTACACTACTTTTGGATATTCCCCCTGTAGAGGGACAGGCCCGACTTAATTCCAGGGACCCAGGCCCCTGGTCCGTCCGAGACCCATCCGGAACGAAAGGCCAGCCCCCGATCCAGGACGCGAAAGAAAGCCGCTCGGGGTTCGTGCGATGCGGACAGTCCCGGAGGCGTTCCAGGCCAGCCCGTCGAGGCCCAAGGGCCCACAGAGCGCAGCCAGAAGCTTCGACCCTAAAACTTGAAGACGTGACGAGACGAGGAGGAGGAGGAGGACGACGACGACGACGGCGACGGCGACGGCCACGGCGCCCGCGACGACGACGGAGGCGGCGGCGACGACCACAACAACGACGACGACGGCGACGACGGCGACTTGTGGCGGCGGCTGCGACGAGGACGAGGACGACGACGACGACGACGACGACGGCGAAGAGGAGGAGGATGACAAGGACGAGGGGCGGAGGGAGACGGCGGCGAAGCCTCGCCGGTTGCCCCGAGGACGGCTGCGGCCTCAACCCGTACCGCATGGGCGAGCCCACTTTCTACGGCCCCGGCAGCAAGTTCACGGTCAGCGGGGCCGTCGATGACATTAACATAATGTTCAGAGTTCCGCGCGGATTTCTTGGATCGCCGCTGGGCCCCCCTCGTGGCGCCTCCGGCGCAGCCCCTGGCGCCTTCCAAGGAGGGGAGCCCAGAGCCGATCCAAGAGATCCGTGCGGAGTTCCGAGAGTTAATGTTCATGCAGTTTTGTCTTCCTCTGCAACTGTGGTCACCTAATTCATCACCGGGTCTGTCACCAGGCGGTCAGGGAGCCCAGGACTCCTCCCCGTCCCGTCGCTCCTCCTCGTCCTCCTTGTCCTCGACGATGACGACGGCGATGGCTAGCAGGACACGTCCAATCCATTTACCAGACGGCCTCGGGGCCCTCGACTCCTCCCCGTCCTGATACTCGAGGATGGCCGCGACGACGACGACGACGGCCGCCAACTGGACGCGGTTAATCCGTTCACCAGACTGTCTCCAGACCCTCCATTCCTCCCTTTCTAGCTGCTCCTCCCCGCCTCCCCGATCTTCGAGGAGGGGGATCCGGCGGGGTGAGGAGGAGTCGAGGGCCCCAACGAGACCTTCTTGTGGCGGACCTGCCGACGACCCAGAACCCCAATTGACCCCACCGGCGCTTGACGCCGACGCCGAGGACGGCGACGGCGACGATGGCGACGACGGCGAACTACGACGGCGACGGCAACGGCGAGGACCAGATAGACGCTGGCGACGACGTGATGGCGGCGGCGGCGATGGCTACGACGGCGGCGGCATCGGTGGCGGCGACGGCCGCGGCGACGGCTTCGGCCAGTTGGACACGTCCAAGCCGTTCACCGTAGTCACCCAGTTCGTCACCGAGGATGGCACCGACGAAGGCGCGCATCGGAGCGGTGAGAAGCCTCCGCGGCAGCCGCGCGGCGTGTCGTGCCACGTTGTTGCCACCACCGCCGAGGGCAGACGGCCGAGTACTTGGAATCAGCCGAAAATGCACGGGGAATGGACGTCCGAGCGATGGCGAGAGGAGGCTCGAGGATCGAGGATCGAGTCGGACGAAGGGGGGGCAGCGGAAGTAGGAGTACGATATCTGCTGCGCGCTGCGCGCAGTTGCTTCCGACCCCACGCGCATAGCGCTTTCCTCGGTACATTGGCGCCTCTGGGGCCAGGAGGTGCCCGGAAGACCAGCTACGCGAGCTGATTCGCTTACCCACCCCCCCTTTGCTATCACCCCTTTTACTCCGACCCGGGAGGAGGATCTGGGAGGGTCGAGGGTCGAGCATCGGTGATCGATGAGACTGGAGGCCAGAGGGCCGGTGAGGCTCGAGGATCGAGGAGGATCGAGGAGGAGCCAGGAGCGAGAATTTCTGATCGAGGAGGATCGAGGCTGTTTGATGGGTTCGGGAGTTTCCAGGGTCGAGGTTTTTGCTTGGGGGGGACGGAGGGGGCGTTTCTGGTCGTTCTCGGTTCCCTGAACCGCGAGTTCTGCAATGGATCCGAGGATCGCACTTCAGAGAGCCCGCCTCGAGACGCGAAAAGCAGGCCGCGCCGGGCTCGTTCCGTGTGCTATGCCGTGCCCGGGTTCCAGGACATGCGAGGCAGGTGCCGTGCCGCGCCCGCGTGCCGTGCCGTGCCTGGGTTTGCCTAGAGTGTGATGCCTGTGCCAAGCCGCCCTCTCCCCAGCCCTCCCTCCTCCTGGCCCCCCCTCCTCCTCCTGGCCCTCCCTACTCCTCCTCGTCCTCCTCCGCCCTGACCCTCCCCCTCCTCCTGCCTGGTCCACCCTCCCCCCTTGGCCCTCCTCCTCATCCGTCCTAGTCCTCCTCGCCCTCGTCCTCGTCCTTCACCTTCATCCTTCCCAGCCCCCTCCTGGGCGGCGGCGGCGGCGGCGGCGGCGGCGAGGAGGAGGAGGAGGAGGAGGGGGAGGAGGGGGAGGAGGGGGAGCAGAGGGAACCCAGAATGCGCCGACGATGCTGCAATACACCTACTCGTCCCAAGCCCGCTCTCGTTCAGATCCTACACAGATCCTGGTTCAAAGCGGGATGCGCCCTCTGTTTCACCAATGGCAGAGTCTGTGCATCGCGTCCTGTGAACCTTCTCAAGAAGTGAGAACGCAGCTCTAAAGAGGAGCCGTCCTCCTTCCGTGCCGCCGTTGTACCAGTGTCATGCTCGAAACTGCTTTGGGGTTCTTTGGAAGTCTCAGGCGAGATCCCCGTTCCGAACAGGAGCCGCCCTCCATCCGTGCAGCTGCCGAACGACATTTCAATGACGCATTATCAGGGTACCTGGCGCAGACCAAAGCGAGAGCTACGCTGTGAAACACTTGGCTCCCCATCCGCACAGCGGCTAGAACAGTATATACGACGGTTGTGCGAGACGTCAAGGCGAGAGCGGTTGACATTTGCACAAGTTGCCCCTATCCTTGTAGTTGTTTGGGAATGGTATGAAGAGTATGCGTGGCGCCATGATGATTTGCAGCAGTTTGAACATCCGTTTCCCACAATGCGTCCACTTCGCGGGTGTTTTTTTATTCAAATTGTGCACGCGGCGCTACAGCGAACGACGCGATTCGAAAACCATTCGCCTCATATGCGTAGTTGCTGTACTGTTCAAGTTTCAATGCTATGGATGGTGAGGAAGTCCCTGCTGCCCTGCTGACCCCTGGGTGTGTCACGACGACGGGGTATTGATACGGAAGTCGCATGGAGGAGGCGCAGGGCGACGACGACGACGACGATGATGCATGTTTGGCAGCCCCAGTATGAGGATGAATCACTACAGAACGCTCCAGCACGTTATCAGCGCGTCCTGGAGCGCTCTGGAAATAGCCGTGACGCTCGGGACATTTTCCAGACGCGCCAGGTCTCAGAGATTGACCATGTGTCTTCATCGGGAGTTACCGCCATCATGCCTCTGCCCCGCATTCGCGAAGAAAAGGAGGAGGAACGCTCGCTCGCTCGCCATCGGTGCATGTCCAAGTCTCGAGTCACTCGAAGTGGCGATGGCCGCAGTGCGCTCAGGGGGCGGTCTGCTCCTGCCGTCGTCAAACTCATTGGGAGCTGACCCACCAGCACTGAAGGGTCTCGCAGGCGACGGCCATCGGTTGGGCCTTCACCATTTGGAGCACTCCCGTGATAGCCTTGAGATGGTCCTGGAGCTGCGGATTCTTGGCGGGGGCATCTTCCTTGGCGACAACTTACCCCAGTCAATACAAACGACGAATGCAAAGCTCGAGCTGAGAGGGGACCAGGCCGAGCTTTGTCCAAATCTTCCGAGCCGGGCGAGGCGCGTGTTTCAGAGCGCCGTCGGCCTGGGGCAGCTTACGTACTGCTGCACCTTTCAATCGGATGCGCCCCCACTGAAGCAGGATACCGTCGATGAGGTGAATCGCTGGCCGACGGGATGAAAGCCTCGAGGCCGCTGAGCCGCGCGGACTGCACGCGGGCCTGTCAACATTTAACTCAAGACGATGAGGAACCGGACTTCTGCCAAAGCTGCCCCGTGGCATACGGTGCGCTCCCCATATTTTTCCGTATAGCATGTCGCTGGTGTGTTGTTGCCCCCGCCCCATCACATTGTGCGCCCAGACACTTAGCGTGTACCTTTACCCGTCTGAGAAGACAACGCTGGGGATTGGTAAAGGATCGCGATGCGCCGAAAGAGCTTGCTCCAGGAAGTCTGGGGACTGTCTTCATTGAGCGCTCCCCCTGATCGAAGCATGTTGACAGACAAACTTGCGGTTGCGGAATAGACTTGACCAGCCATGTTTTCTGCCGTCGGGGCAAGGATGTAATGTGCAGTATCTTCTAGGTATACCGTCGTCGATATGTCAGCGCCCCGTCCTACACTATCATTCACCGGGCTCGAGCACCTACTGTCACTCCCTCCAGGTTGAGTTTGTCGCTCAGCAAGTCACTGCCCGAGTACTCTACAATCAAAACTGCGGGAATACTCAACAGGCGCTGAATGATATCCTTGCACACCTTCCTCCGAATCTGATAATGGCCCACCCCACCTGAACAGACCTCTGTGATGATGATATGAGTGTTTATGTGAGGCTCGCTATGTATAGATATGTGTGTATGTAAATATGTATTGATATAGTTACATTTTCATATTGATAAATGCATGTGTGCGTGAATGTGTATATAACTATGTACGTATACATGTGTATCTATATATGTATATAAGTCGCCAGGGTTTATGTGTAAGTAATCCGTTCCATCAAATACTCCTGCTGCGAGGTTGTCGAAGGCGTTCGCCTGGTCGAAAGCATCGGGGCAGTGCGACTTATGCTGGCCGAGGTGTTTTGTGAGCGGCTTGTTGAACGGACACGTGCGGAGTACAAGTCGGGTGAAGCGCAGTTTTGGGGTCGTAGTCGTGATATGTTGCATTCTCATGGCCCGTACCAATCACGTGGAAAGCTGGCTCCTCCTCGGGCCATCCAGAAGAATCCCCGAACCCTCCGAGAAAACCAATCCACCGTAGGTAAAGTTTGCGCTAAATCTTGCAGCTACACGCTGTACCTAAGGCGTCGGTGACTGGGTAGAAACAACATGAGGTATATGTCCGTTGGAGGGCTCCAATGGGGGTGGAGGGTTTCCTGTAGGCCATCGAGAGGGAGGACATATTGATCCATCGGAGGTCGTTGTCGGCCTTGCCTTTCAACCCAGGACTGTAGAATTGAAACCTTAGCCCGTCTTCGAGACGATCCTCAGGGGTGAGAGAAAGATCACATTGGGCAGCAGATTTGCCTCAGAGGTCCTCGGTGTGGCAGATGGTCGGCCCACATGTGGATAGTGGGCCTCGTACTGATCGGCTGGTTATCAAAAGAACGTCTGCCTGGTCCCACTGCAATGCACGCGAGAGGTCGACAAAGGCCATGCACGAATGGCCAGCGGGATGCTTGCCAAGCCTCGTGGATCTGCTCTGCAAGGGACTCCATCCGTGTTTCTCTGTCGGCGTCTCGGTCTTGTTTTAGCTGTTCCGTGACTTCATTTATTTGTTTCTGCGTGTGGGCATGCTCGCGAAAGTGCGCACGATCAGCAACCAGAGCAGAGGGAAGTTCATCAAGTTGTTCTCGAAGCGCAAAACGTTGTTTGAGCAGGTCTCTGGGTCTCTCGTGTCTGTGCGTGCTCTGCGTCCTCCTCAGTACAGCACTCCAGGGCTATCTTCCGAATGTCCGGATGTGTCTGCACCTTCAAGTTGTGACCAGGCGGCGACGGTGCGATGGCGCATGTCTTCAACTTCGCACACAAAACATCAATGTGGTCTCCGCGTGCCGCCTAATATTCCATCAGCGATAACGTTTTGCTCCCAAGGCTCCGGTTTAGTTTTTAGGGCCGCGGGGAAGTTGAGAAGGAATTTCACCGATACCTGAAGGGGCCAGTGGTCCCATCTTCTTCGGATTGTGGAGACCATTTTGGAGCTTTCGCCCGAGCCTTTGTATCCTGGAATTGGTCACCGACGAGAGCTGTAGTGAACTCGGGTACTACTCAGCTTTCTGACATATGTGTCCTCGCCTCCAAGAAACGCATTGACCAAGCAGAGCTTGAGCTGCTCCATACAGCTTCTCACTTTCTTCATGCAAAAGTGTTCTGGCCGAGGGTCGAGGCCCTCTATCCTACTGGATCGAATTCATATGATATGTACTCTGCTGGCGGGACTCCAGGGTGGTCATTCAAATTACCTCCGAAAACAGTCGAGCATTTCGCAGGCTGGTCGCTGGAAGTGTCAGTCATCCACTTAAGGAGGGCATCAACGCTTTTCTGATACACGCTCCTTTGATTTGCGAGAGAGGCTCGCGGTGGGAAGTAAGAGGCAATGGCAAGGATACAGAAGCGGCCTGACCGCAGCAGCACCGCCCCACCTCGACATTGTAGCGCTGCAGGTAGGGAGAAGTTGGTGGCGATATTTCGGGTCCTGAAGATACCCTCACGAAGCGTGATTTGAACACTGGCATGACCATTGGAGCATGATGCTCGATCGCAGCCCCTACTCAAGATGTGGGGATGTGTGCCGAGCATGTTGCAACAAGGCCGTCTGTCGCTTTCATTCTGATACGGGTGTATGACAATAGCAATGTGTCTTTGCTCGTGCATGCAAGGTGAATTTCAGCATGGCGGCCTGGATGGTCAATGGAGCAAACATTGTGGGTGAGAATGTTGAGGCTGTGGCGTTCCACCAGCACTTAGCGCGTGGGGGCGAGGGGCTCCTTCGGAACAGCAGGGAGACAAGACATGGCGCAAAAGAGGAAAGGTGTGGATAGGGATGGTCAGGCGAGTAGATATGGCATCGCGCTCGAGGCTAGACGCCTGGGGAGGAACGAGGAGGAGGAGGAGGAGGAGGAGGAGGAGGAGGTCGACGAAGATGCACGAGGGCCGCGCGTGCAGCTGGGCTCCGCGGCAGCAACGCCAGGCGCACTCGTCGACATCCGGCGCAAGTACGTCCAGGATGGCCAGGCGCCCCTCTCCCCCCCCGGCCGCACAGGCGCGAGCCAGCGCGCGCAGAAACCCCGCCCCTCCGCCGCGATCCTCCCGCTCGACTTTCCCTGCTCCTCCTCGACTACGCTCTCGATTCTCCTCGATCCTGCGCGTGCGTGCGCGCGCGCACTTGCACGGGTCCACTGTTCCTGTCTTTTCACTTGGGCCCTGCACACGTTTCCACAGGAAGGTGAGTAGGTTCGTCTTGCTTCCGAGGCGGAGACTTACCCATAAAAGCACCGCCTGCCGAGGTCCCCGAAGATCGATCCACAGGCGGTGGTTGTGGATGAATCCCCGCCTCTTCTTGGCGGCATCGTTGTAGCTTCGCCTTGCACTGCCAGTGCTTGCAACCCAGCGCTGCGCCGGAAGAAAACCATCTGCGCGCGTCCCTCAGCTCGGCGACTTGATGCGCCAGTGTTCCGCCATTGCCAGCCCCAGGGGGGGCAGTTCTGAGCCCCCCCGGGGGCCATCAGACGACTCTCCGGAGCGGACGTCGTTCTCTGGGGGATCGAGGACCCAGAGCTCAACGTCTGGACAGGACGAGGCGGGTCGGGTGCTGCCAGAAGTGCCCCTGACCCCCGGGTGCCCCCCAGGATTTCCAAGGAGGCCCCCACGGCCTCCAGGGCACTCCTCACGAGGCCCAGAGGGCCCAGGGTGCTCCGAAGTGGAGAGCAGCAACCCCCGACGGGAACAGGGCCCCCCGGGGGTCGTCGGCGAGACGATCCGGGGCGCGGTCCCCGGCTCTAGGTGGCCGCCGTTCCCCTCTCCGCCTCCTCCTCCCCGGCAATCCCCCCCCAATCCGCGTGCCAGCGGGGTGGGAGGAGAAGAATGAGGAGGAGGAGGAGGAGCAGCAGGAGGAGGAGCGGGAAAGAGGAGCAGGAGGAGGAGGAGGAGGAGGAGGAAGCTGAGCGAGAAAGAGGAGCGGGTAGCTGGCCCCTTGGGAGGGATCGAGGGCTCTGGGGGACACGCACCAGGGCTAGCCCCAACACTAGCGGCCGGACTCCTCCTCTCGCCTCGCAGAGCTGGCCAGGTCTCGCGGGCTTCGCTCTGTGGCCCAGGGGCGGGGACGCCCAAAGCCCAAGGCCCTGGGAGTGCCCCCCGCCCCCTCGGTAATTACCTCGGTACCAACCGGGCGTTGTCATCAGGCAACGACCGAAACCAAGGGGGACCTCATTCAAGAGCCCCCTTTGGAACGGCAGGTTGACGCCGTGTCGGCGCAGCGGCGACAACAGCGCGGGCGTTCGAGGGGGAACGCCGCCAGCGGAGCAGGCATGGCGACCAACCATCTGCGCTGTCAGGCCGCGATCGCTCAAAGCGGAACGATCCTCGCCGTGTCAGAAACCAAGGCCGACGTCGTCACGACGCGCACCTGCCGTGCCCCTTGGGGTTAGGGGGCCCATTCGGGTGCCCCTCCGTGCTGAGGACGGGGGTGTCCCTCCTGGTTGCGGGGGTGGAGGGCTCCTGGTCGCGGGGGTGGGGGACCCCTTCGGGCGCCCCCCAGGCCGAGGGGACAGGGCGGGAGGAGGTGGGCCGTCTTGGCGCGATCGCGCCCGCAATTAGCTCTCCAGCGTTCAATGTACGTGTGTGTCACCTCTTCGATGAGCGTGCCCCTCCCTCGCATTTGCTGGCTCCGCGGTCCTCCTCTGCCTCTCATCGCATCGTCGCGCTCATCCATCTCATCCGAGGCCCGACCCCTGCCCCATGTCCGACCTGGGTGGTGCTCTCGGTCTGGCATGGTGTGGTATTGTTGGGCACCGCGTTTCCATTATGATATCAAAGAAGCCATGCTGTGGTGGCGCAAGCTCCACACGTCCACGCTCAAAGGCGTGGCCTCCAACACTCACTCGGCGCGGTCTCGCGTCTGAGACCGCGCGCCCGACGTGAACGGCAAGTGCCCACGCGACGACGACCTCGACGACGACGACGGCTGCAGCCTCTGAAAGGGGCACGGCGCATGCTCTAGCGCAGTGCTCTCGAGTCTATCAATGGCACACTGCCGTTGGTAGTCTACCCGACTGCGTGGTTCTTCGTCAGCAGTGACACGATGGCGATTCCTCCATGGCGGCGTGTCCTTAGTCCGAGCGCGAGGGCGGGAAGATCATCGCGCTTCGCGCGTCACGATCTGGAGCAGAGCGGCTGGTCCTCTCCACTGCGCGAGGTCGCGAGGATGATCGCGCATCGCGGGGCACGGGGCGCGAAGTTGGATGACCGAGGGGCCACCGATGCTGTCTTTGCTCGCGAAGACAATAGCACATCGCGGGGCACGGTGCGCAAAGTTGGGTGACCAAGGGGCCACCGATGCTCCCTCCACGCCGCCGCAGGTCATCGAGAACGCCGTCGCCACCGTCCTGGACGAGGTCTCGGCCGGCGGCCACCGCCGCCGCCTTTCGCCTTCGAAGGCCTTGGTCGTCCGGCGCCGCCCTCGGCCGCGATCGGCGGCGCTGCCGCCGGTTTCTCGCCAGCGTCGGCGGCGTTGCCGCGATCATGGTCGCCGCCGTCGCCGGCTGCGGCGACTTCGCCGCCGCCGTGGCCGTCTGCGGCGGCCTCGTCGGCGGCATCGTCCTCGCCGCCGCCGCCGCCGCCGTCCTCGCCGCCCTGCAGAGTGGCGGTCGCCGGCCCTGGGCGCGGCGGCGGGCAGCAAGTGGCGGCTCGCTCTACGAGCCGGGGCCGTCTCGGTGCAGGTGGGGCCCGCAACGGGCCGCGCAGGGGTCGCGAGCACCCTGACTTTCCAGGTGGTGTAGCAAACAGTGTGGCATTTGAGTTATTGCCGAGGGTTTATAGGTTTCGAGGACTGTTTTTTAGCACTCTGGAAGATCAGGGCACCCTCGGCGGCGCTCTGGGAGCGGCCCTCTCCCGGGCGCTCCCCGGGGCTGTCGAGGATGCTGAACCGTTTTGCTCTGGCCCGCCGTCTTTTGTTGATTGTGTAGATGTATGAGACCACCCTTCAGGAGGGGCTGCTCTTCTAGCGACGCTTGCTGCTAGCATTCCAGTATTGTGGCCTTCCAGAATGATGCTGCTGCGTTGGCCCCAGGCTTCCATGGGCGTGCTCGATCACTGCGATTTGTGCCCGCACTTACGTCGCACCTCCTGGATGGGGGACGGAGGCGAATGAAGGCGTCAGGTAGTCCTTTTACCTACCCATCTTGTGGAGGTGATGTGTGTTTGCCATGCCCCATGGCCCATTTGGGCCATATCTCGGCTTCGATATGTTTCATCTTGTCTGCTCGTCTGCGCGGTGAAAATGGCCCACCCTAGTTTGGTGATTTGTGGGCCCTGGTGGGCGTGTGCCACACCGATGG